GGGGGGGGGGGGGGGGGGGGGGGGGGGGGAGACATTTTCAACCTGCTGGTGCTCCGGGAGTTGAGGAGCACACGGGAGGTGTGGAAGTCTGGGTGCAGCAGATCTTTGACACCACAGAATTTCAGCCTGGACACGATCCCCACCCACGAGGTAATTGGACCGTCCGGCTTGGCTTCGAGTCAGATGTGTATGGGGAAGGGGTCCCGAAGCTGGGGGGTTCTCAGCGACAGTGGCACCAGAATAAAGTAGTGTTAGCTCAGTGGGATAGATGGGAGGTTGGCAATGCAGTGTGATGCCAACGGTCGGGTTCAATTCCCACACTACCTGAGGTTACCATCCCTTCTCAACCTCTCCCTTCACCTGGAATGCGGTGACCTCCAGTTAAACCAGTCTCCAGTTGTCTCTCTCTGTAATGAGAAAGTAGCCCTATGCTCCTCTGGGACTGTGGCGAATATCAGCATAAAGCTCACTTCTTGGGCCCATGGGCTCAATACAAGTGATATAAAACCAGGCCAAGGCACATGGAGATTTCCTGAGTCACTTTGCCCTTGGCAAAAGAAGCAAGAGCAATGTGAGAAAAAAGTCTGTTCACACAGAGATGGATTAAGGCCTGGAGCGCACTTAGGAGGGGCTGGTGGAAGCAGGTTCAGTTGAAGAATTCGGGAGGACATTAGACCATTATCTGAAAAGGAAGAACATGCAGGGTTACGGGGTGATGGTGTGAGAATAGCACCAAGTGAAGTGCACTTTTGGCGAGCTAGCACAGACCCATGATGGGCCAAGTGGCCTCATACGCTGTAACTGAATGTGCTGAAATTATTAAAACCATTTCCTAAGGGGTTGGTTAGCTCAGTTGACTAGACAGCTAGTCTGGCTGTGGTTAACGTGAAGGACCCTCATTCTCGACCTCACCCACTCCCTGAGGCACGGTGACCCTCAGGTTAAGCTCTGCACCAGCCTCTGGGACTATGGACTTTCGTGTCTTATTACAAAAGGAACTATACTGTTGATCATTGGCTTTAAAGCACTTTGGGGCATGGAGGTGCAGTAGAAATTTAACACTCTCGTCCCCAAGAGGCCAAATTTTAACAATATCCTTTGCCTGCACCTTGCCTGCCCTGTTGTTGTCTCTTGATGTTGATTTAGATTGTTGAGTTTCAAACACAAAGCACCAGGATAACCACCCTTGCTGAAGTCTGAAAACTCCATCCTCCCCCACGCCTCAGGCTTTCCAGCAGGCTATTCTGGAATATTCCACTCTGATGCCTCTTTAGTTCCTACTTGCCAAGTGTTACCCAGTATCCCAACAACCTTACAGTTGGTGTTGCTTTTTCTCATTCTTTCTTGGGATGTGGGCATCGCAGGCAAGGCCAATGTGTGTTCCATATCCCTAGTAGCCCCCCACCCCTGAGAAGGTGGTAGTGAGCTGCCACCTTGAACCACTGCTGCCCACGTGGTGACTGAACACCTGTAGCGGAGGTAGAGAGCTCCAAGATTTTGACCCTGTGACAATGGAGGAACGCGATATATTTCCAGGGATGTGCCTGTGTGTGTGAAGCAATTGCTGACGATGCTGGTTAAACATAATAACATAAACATGAGTGTTTCTTCTAGGATCACAGAATTGATGGTGACTGTCGAACAACAGACCACCCAGAATAACGAGAAGGAGAAGACAATCAACAGCCTGAACCAGATGGTGGAGAATCTGGTGGGTGAACCTGGTGGAAGGAGGGTGTGGGGACGATGGACTCAAGCCCTGACTGCGAAACATTGAAAATAGGAGCCGGCCATTCGGCCGTTCGAATCTGCTCTGCCATTCAATGTGATCGTGGCTGACCATACAACTCATTAACCTGAGATGACAAGGTGTAGAGCTGGATGAACACAGCAGGCCAAGCAGCATCATAGGTCTGCTTGGCTGGCTGTGTTCATCCAGCTCTACACCTTGTTATCTCAGATTTTCCAGCATCTGCAGTTCCTACTATATCTAACTCATTAACCTGATCCTGCTTTCACCTCATGCCCTTTGATACCTTCAAACCTAGATCTAATTTCTTCAAAACATTCAATAATTAGGTCTCAACCACTTTCTACAGCAGAGAATTCCACAGGCTCACCACTCTCTGGATGAAGAAGTTTCTCTTCATCTCAGTCCTAAATGGCCTCCCCTGTATCTTTAAACGGTGACCCCTGGTTTTATACTCCCCTATCATCAGGAACATCCTTTCCTCATTTGTACTGTGAAAATTTTATAGGTTTCCATAAGATATGTACTTTTTCTTCTGCAAATCCTAGTAATAGTCTCATACCAGTGAGATATTTTAACATCTTAATATCTAGATGCCTCACTCCAAAAACAAGTAGTTTGCACTCTTGCCCATTTCAACAATCATTCAACCCATCAGTCCATTCAATTTGATCAACTGGTCTATAGCAAGAATTTATTATACAGTGATCCAGAGTGGGACTGTGACCTGGTGCTAAATGGATGGGTGCTGTGCTGTATAGTGAGTGCTGGATAACAGGCCCTTTGTGGTTACAGGAGGCAAGCCGAGCTGAGACCCAGGTTGGTCAGGATGGAACTGAAATCGAGTCTGCCAAAGCAGAGCTGGAGTCGCTGCATCAAATCCTCAGAGACATCACACAGGTGAGGGTGTGAGCTGGCGGTGGATGTAGATTGTGATTCACTATTGTAGGAAGAATTTTTTAAAAAAGCAGAATGCTTCTGTTTAAAATGATTCCTGGTTCTTAACATCCGCATGAACAGTCGTACTAATCCCATGTGCTGCATCCAGTTCCCAAACACAGCATCTGATTTCAATACAGTATGTGATACAGGAGCCTCTCGGTGTCAGGGGGAGGCTGTGTTACACTTTGGGCTTTGACACACTATGGTGTTTTTTGGGCAGACCCGCTTAGATTGGGCATCTGTTTTTGTTCGGAATCTCTTGAAGAAGACAGGAAGATGACAGAACCTTATAGTGCTGCCATCCAATAAAAATTACACTTTTCGTTAGCTCCAATGAGGTTGGTTGTTGAATGCTGCCTTTGAGAACGCTCATTACAGTCGCTCAGTTGATAAACGCACCACCAATTGAGTGGGGACAGTAACTGAGGGGCTACAATTAGACATTTACTCCTTTAGAAAGCAGCAAGTACCTATGGCAAAAAGGGAAAACAAATCAGTGGCCAAAGTAGGTAGATAATTGGTTTACTGAAAAACCATCATGGCTGCAAGTGCCAAATTGATGACCATTTGAACAAAACCAGCAATTAGAATTCAAAGCATAGTTGTAAATGGTTGTCAAAAATAAAATCTAAAATGATTACACAATTATGAATGTTTCAGTGAGTAAACAATTACAATTTTTTGAAATTAGAAGGATTCTTTAATCTACAGAATAAAATTGAAAGGTCCGCTTCACTGTACATTTTGTATCGAAATTCATAGGTTATATGTTGTTACTTTGAGTTTGTTAAATTCTCAATAAGTTGCACACTGAGTTTTATAACGTGGGGGATTAGGCTGTCTCATGGTTTGACCATTTTACTCCACTGTTTGTTAATCTTGACCGATGGTGTTGGGTTGGGGAGAAGTGTGTAACCTGGTTATACCGTGGCAGAGACCTCCCTGACTTGGTTATTCCATGGTGTAAGTACTTCGACCTGTTGCTGGGCTGTGATGGACTTTGCAAGGGTCAGGATTGTTGATTGTCCGCAGGTTGTCTCGGGTGTCTGTTCCCATGGTGACCAGCGTTGCCCAAACTCTCCCTTTTCCAGGTGGTCATTTCTGAACGTGGGGCTCCCTTCCCGGCCGCTGAGCGGACCAGCGAGGTCACGGAAATGGATTCCTCCCTGCTCAGTCCCCTGGGGCTCACATCCAGCCTGCGCACTCCCTCTCCACGGCGATGGACCTCTCCCCGCCGCAGCCATTCACCGCGACACAACCTCTCGCCAGGACTCTCGGACTCCATGTACTCGGCTGTTCAAGCTGCTGTGCAGAAGAGGCAACTTCTGATCCAGGTAGAGAGACAACTACAGACCGTGATGTTCGTGATCATGGGATGACGGGATTGGAAGAAATTTTATGTCCTCTTATCCAAGGAAAGATGTACTGGCATTGGAAGCTGTACAGAGAAGGTTCACTAGGCTGATCCCAGGTATAGAGGAGAGGCCGAGTACCTTGGGCCTATACTCATTGGGATATAGTAGAATGAAAGGCAAGCTTATTGAAACATGCAAGATTCTTAGGGGACTTGACAGGGTGGATGCAGAAAGGTTATTTCCCCTTATGGGAGAGTCTAGGACCAAAGGGAATAATCTCAGAGTGAAGGGTCGCACATTGAAGATAGAGATGAGAACGAATTTACTTCGCTCAGAGGCTTGTGAATCTGTGAAATTCTTTACCTCAGAGGGATGTAGAGACTGGGTCTTTAAGGCTATTCAAGGCTGAGATTTTTAATCAGTAAGGGAACCAAGGGTTGGGGGAATTGACAGAGAAGCGAAGTTGAGAATTATCAGATCAGCCACGATCTCATTGCATGGCAGAGCAGACTCGATGGGCTGAATGGCCTACTTCTGCTGCTACATCTTCTTATGGTCCTGGTTTCTTCAGCCCAGTTTTGCCTCTTGAAGGCATTGACTGTTCTTGGGGGCATGGATCAAGAATGCCCTTTTATGTTTAACCCAGATATCCACTTGACCCTTTAGTGACTACTCAGCCACAGAAGGCCTCATGGCTATGCCCACCCCCCCATCCCAACACATGGATTCCAGCAGGGTCCAGAACCAGAGACCTCATTCTGGGACCTCACCTCTGGGACTCCAGAACACAAAGGTCAGTAGTACACATATCACTTCAACCCTTTATTATCCAAATCCAAACTTACCAGGGCTGGGAATAGTTTCTGTAGAAGCAGAGTCTACTACATCGCTACCATCAGATCCTGAGAACAATCGCAGGGGAGGGCACTGGATCTGATTTGGATCAGATAGCACCAGAACATATAGGTACCATGAAAGATCCCGGCATACTCTTTAGACAATGTGATGGACCAGCCTCTTCCCTGCTGACAGACCGAGGAATGGGACCGTCTACCTCTCATGCTGAACCCTTGTAAAATAGCATTATTACTTCCAGGAAGGAAATCTGCCATCCATACCCATATAATGTGTCTTTATTTGACCCACAGCACATGTGGTTGACTCCTGACTGGCCCCTGAAATGGCCCAGCTGGCCACACTGTCCCAGGGCAATTAGGGATGGGTGACAAATGCTGGTCTCGCCAATGATGCCCATATCTCATGAAAGAATGAATAAAACAAAACTGCAAAACTTTACCGGTCCTCTCATTTCTATACTCCCAGACCCTCGGAAGTACTGGATGCAAGAGACTCTCAAGGTTGTTGCTTTAATGGATCATTAGCATCTAGTGTAGCATTGTAATTAATTTTTAAATCTGCCTGTTCAGGCATTAGAGTCATAGAGTCATGCAACACGGATACAGATCCTTTGGTCCATGGCAACCATGTTCCCCAACTAAACTAGTCCCACCTGCCTGCGTTTGGCCCATATCCCTCCAAACCTTTCCTATTCATGTACTTATCTACATGTCTTTTAAATGTTGTAACTGTACCTGCACCCACCGGCCAGGTGCAGCTTGAACTCGGACCTCCTGTCCCAGAGGGAGGGACAGTACCTATGCACTGCAGAGAGATGAGGTTACCAACTACTTGCCAGTCCTGGAGAGCACAGCTTGCAGTTGCGCTGTGTGAGAAAGATGTTCCTTTTTGATCACTCCTGAAAAGTTTTTGTTGCGGGTTTTTGTGTTTGCTCTGGCAGGAGCTCCGTGCAAAGCACGAGGTGTGCCAGGACACGGTGGCCAGTCTGAAGAAGCAGCTGGGCGACAGTGAGAATGAGCGCCGGGGCCTGGAGCAACACATCCTGAAGCTCAAGGAGGAAACTGAAGACTTGGTGCGAGCCAAGGATGATGCCAGGCGCGATGCCAATCGCTTCCGCTCCTCTACCGACCTGCTCGGAAGGTAAACGTGTCAAATTCTCTCTCAGTATTTCTCTCACCTTTCTCTGCTCTCTTTGGATCTCGATTTCTCAGTCTCGCTCTCTGGCTTTTTGATGTAGAACTACAGTTGGTAATTTGCTGCCGTAACCAATCCACTGCGCCTTGCGCTGTAAACCCCCCCGGTTCTCTGCACTGCCCCCGCCCCTCCACTTCCCTCTCTGTAATCACTCTGGTTCGATCTCTTTCCTTCCTGAAAGTGAGAAGTCGAACTTGGAAAAGTCTCTTCAGTCCCTGCAGCTGCAGATGGAGACGGCGCGGCAGGAGAATGAGAAATTGCAGCTGGCCAACAGTGAACTCCAGCGACAGCGAGACAATCTGGAGGACGAGAAGGAGGACATTCTGAAGGACAAGGAGAGGGCGCAGAAGGAGATCGAGCGAGAGTGAGTGAGGCTTGGTTTGGTGGGCGGGGTTTCAGAATTAAAGCCAGGCCTTGTGGCCTGACCGTTCTGAATCTGTGTCTGCTTTCCCCCCTCCCCCCTGACAGCCACAAGATGCTTGAGCAGATGGAAGTAAAGAACTCAAGTATGAAAAAGGAGTTGGTGCTGGTGAAGGAGGCCTTGAGCAAGGCAGCACTGGACAAGGAAGTGCTGGAGAATGAGAAGGCCGGAATTGAAGAGGCTCTAAGCAAGGTACATTTGGGCAAGGAAGAGTCAGAGTAGAACCAGACAATAAATAGTGGAGAAGGGTCCTGACCTGAAGTGTCAACATTCCTGCTCCTCTGATGCTGCCTGGCCTGCTGTGTTCCTCCAGCTCCACACCGTGTTATCTCTGACTCCAGCATCTGCAGTTCTTACTGTCTCTGAGGAAATGTGGTGATGTTTTCACAGTGCATTGGTCACAGGCTCTTGGTGACCTGTCTGGTGACAATGAGCAGGATCCCTGCCTGATTCTTCCTTCTCTGACCCTAACCTTCTGTTCTCAGTTGCTAAACGTGGATGAGATCAGCTACTGGCGCACAGGTTTGGAGTTGACTCTGGGATCTGTTGAGTGATGTGTACATATGGGTGACAAACCAGGGCTTGGAATGATCTACTAAAACACTGCGAGTCTATCACGTGATTGTTACAGCACAGCAGGAGGTTATTCAGCCCATCGAGTCGGCACTGGCTCCTCGTAGGGGCGATTCACCTTGTGTCCCTCCCCCAGTTCTCTGCCTGTAATATCCTTCCTTTTTAGACAATAATCCAATTTACTCTTGACTGCCTGGATTGAATATTTCTCCACCACACTGAGGCAGCCCATTCCAGATCTTACACAATCAATGTAAGGAAAGGTATTTCCTCATTTTTCCATTGTTTCTTTTGCCAATTACCAAAAATTTGTGTCCCCTTGTTCCTTCTGACTATTTTCCCCTATCTTGTCTGTTCACAACTCATAATTTTGAATATCTCTATCAAATCTCCTTTTAACCATGTCTTTCCAAGAAAATCTGTCCCAACCTCTCCAATCTAACTACTTAACTATTGTTCCTCATTTGTGCAATCATCCCATTGAATGTGTTCTGCACCTTCTGTAATGCCTACACATTTTTATCCTAAAGTCAGGCACCTCTAAGCTTTTATGAAATTTACTTGTCTATCTACCTCTCACGCAGACTGGAGTTAGACTGCAATACTGGAGCTGGAATGTTGCTCGTCTGTCTGCTGATGTCATGTTCACGCTGAAAGAAGACAGCTTAAAAAAAAGTCAGCTTCTCTTATATTTCCAAAAATTGTTTCAGTGATTGAGTAGATCCTGTAAATATCCCTGGACTTATCAACGCTGGATCAGTTGTTAATTTAAAATCTGAGTTAGATAATTTTTTTTTTAATACCAAAAGAACTGCAGATGCTGTAAATCAGAAACAAAAACAGACATTGCTGGAAAAGCTCAGCAGGTCTGGCAGTACCTGTGGAGAGAAATCAGAGTTAACATTTCAGGTCGAGTGACCCTTTTAAAAAAACTGAGGAAGGGTCACTCGACCTGAAACGTTAATTCTGATTTCTCTCGTTAGATAATTTTTTTTTGTTGAGCAAAGGTATTAGGGGATGTGGGTCAGACTCAAGGATATAGAGTTAGGCCACAGATCAACCATGATCTCATTGAAACAGGCTCGAGGGGCTGAATGGCCTACTCCTGTTCCTATGTTTGGCCCTGCCCACCGTGAAAAGTTCAGGAATTGTTTTTTGGTAGCATGTATTTTCAGCAACTGGGTAACTGTGTGTGCTGTGTGAGTGGTTGTACTGTGCAAGTGGTTGTGACCATGGAAACAATAGAGAGCGTTGTGAGCAGAATCCCTGGCCAGCCCAGAGTCAGACGTGTAAGAAAAACACAGAGGAAGGAAATCCCTCACCTACAGGACTGAGTGCTCCCCTGGTGTCACCTAAATGGAGTTAGGCACGTGGGAAAGAGGAATCAGATGGAACATTCTCCTCAGTTTTGCTGTTGACATTGAGTAAGTGTGAGTGCAGAACGTTGGGATTGTGTCAGATTAAATGGTGCTGTGCCTGTTTGTTCTTCCCCAGGTGGAGACTGCAAACGCTGAGATGGAGCTCATCCTGAACAAGCTGAGAGCAGAGCAGGCCTCCCTCCGGGATTCTCTGACCAAGATGAGCGCCTTCAACGAGGGTTTGGCCCAGGACAAAGTGCAGCTGAACAAGATCATCCTGGAGGTAAGAAAGCAGGAAACTGTGTGCCTCAACCGTCAAACCTGCCCTCCCTCTAGCAGCTCTTCCTTTCCTCTTCTCCCTGAGCCTCATTGATCCAAAGGGAATAGGAACAGGAGTAGGCCATTCAGCCCTGCTCCACCATTCAATCTGATCATGGTTGATCAGCCAACTCTGTGCCCTGTTTCCACTTTGTCCCCAACCCTTTCAGTCTTAAGAATTAGATCGATCACCTTTTTTAAAATATTCAATCTCTCGCTGGACTGGAGTTCCAGAGGAACCGGCAGCTCTCCAGTGCCTCCACATCCTTTGTGCACCACTCTTCATGGAGAGTTGTTCGACGGTGGTCAGCATCACATCCTGGTTCCATTTTGTGCATACGGATGCTACACAACACACGCACACAACGCATACACATGCACACAGCACATATACAGCACATGCACACTCTTTCCAAGCAGTTCACAGGGCAGTGATCAGATGCAGAAAGCCCAACTTACATTCCCCTCCCTAACCAAGAATCCCTGTTGCTGCTTCAGCTGAGGTCCACAAACGCACACTGTGGTGGAACCTCGGACTTTTGGCTCGGTTCCACATTGAGCAGTGCGACTGACCACTGACCCACCAGAAGTTGTGGGAGTAACAGCAGACTAATATGTGAGCTAGCGATCACCTCGTTAGTTAAACTCTTTTACTCTCTGCTGCTTGTCTTGTAGCTAGAGGATGAAAAGGCCACGCTGCTGGGACAGAAGAAAGAAGTTGAACAGGAAAAGGCCTCGATCCGCGATGAGTTGGTGCGATTGGAGCAAGAAAAGCTGGACCTGCATACCGAACGTCACGGCCTGGACCACTCCCTGCAACTTGTGGAGCAAAGCCGGGAGAGGCTCGAGCAAGACCTGATGACATACCAGCGGGAGAAGGGGGAACTGCAGGGTCAGCTCGCACAGGTAGAGAAACTGCTGCTAATAATTCCTCCCCCTGCCAAATTAGCAACGACGGCATAGAGTTACACAGTGAGCCGCCCTTACCCGTGTGGAAGAAGCAGACACCGTTCCACACTGTGTGTAAGGCCCGTGATGGCACTCCGATCCTCTCATCTGTTTGCCCCACAGGTGACCCGGCATAAGAACAGCCTGGCCGAGGAGCTGCTCGAGGTCCGCTGTGAGATTGAACGCAGCAGCGAGTCCCTGCTCCGAGCTGCCAAAGAAAGGGAAGAACTGACCAGGGAGAAGGCCAATCTGGTGGTTCAGATCACAGCTTCTGAGCGTGAGAACAGGGCGCTGGCAGATGAAGGGGCTGCTCTCAGGTGAGTGCAAACACCAGCTTGACGCTGGGAATAAAGAGAAGTGGCATCCAAGCTGATCCATACAGAAGGAAAAATGTAGGTGAAGCACTCTCTTGTGTACATCACAACCCTCATAATAATCCTGTCTGATATACCCCACATCCCTCACTGTAATCCTCTATGATATAAACCACATCTCTCATTGTAACCCTCTCTGATATAACCCACACCCCTCTCTGATATGCCCCACACCCCTCATTGTAACCCTCTCTGATATGCCTCACACCGCTCCCTAACCTTCTCTGATGTACCCCACACCACCCTCTAACCCTCTCTGATATGCCCCATATCCCTCTCTGTAACTCGCTCTGATATACCCCATACCCCTCTCTGTAAC